ACATTATTTTTCCAGTACTCTAGTGGCATTGATTTTTTAATCATTTGGTAAATTTTTTTCACCGTATTATATCAAAGACAATATTCACCAGCAATTAGATATAGAAATACACAAATTTGTTTCATAATTGAGGGCTCCAGGGCTGTCACAACTATAATACAAAACAGATGAAAATTTCAGAGAAACTGCATTGAAATACATTTGGTAGGTAGGTATCAGGGTATCAAATGAAAAGTGTTCGTCTAATTTCATACATACCACACATTACCACAGAAGTGAAAGGTAAAGAAAGGAATATTTTCTGTGAATTAATCATTTCTTCAAAAATTATGAATAATATATTCCATCATGATTCAATCAGTTGAAATTAACCACCTGAAAAAAATAAACTCAACTTTCAGATTCTCAAATGAACTCTTTCATGATGGTATCTTTCATATTTTGGATGGCTGTTTTGTCTTCAACATCACAGGCATACGTCATCAACTGTTCACCAGTGTCAGTGCAAGACCAAATGAATCCAGGAGTGAGACAACTGTGTGCTGTTTTGGATTCCACAATTGATTTAACATCGCCGCCAGCTTGTGAGTGACATTTTTGTATACTAATTAGCATTTTCATTTCCACTATTTTACTGTCAGTTTTGTGAAACAAGATATTTTCAAGTGCTCAGGTTGAGTCGCAATATCAAACAATGTTTATAGCTCCAATTTAGATCTCGAATAATTTGTATCTAATTCCACAGTTGATTTTCAAGATGAGAAACCGCCAATTATCATTTGGTACTTATTCTTATTTCATGAGTTATTCAGTTTGTTCCCCAAAAAAATTCTTCCTTGAGGTTGGAAGACCGATCTTGTTTCAATAACTGTGATTGCTTTGCTATCAGTAACATCAGCAGTCATAAAAAAGTTGTTCTACAGCTTCGGATGGAAATAATACTTCACAATTCGTTTGTCATATTCTGAGCGGGTATATGACTCGCTCAGAAGATGACACAGTCTATCAAAATAGCTGTTAGCTTTAAATGTTAGTGTAGTGTAAATTGTGAAGTATTATTTCCACCCCTCCCATTTAGTCATAGAAAAGTTATAGATCAACATACTTTCAAATATTCTAAATTCTCGAACATCATGAGCATGTTTTAGTAATCAGTAGTTTCTGTAAGCAAAAATCAGGTGAATAGGTAACAGTTTCTCATATTTCAGCTACCTTGTGCAAAATGATCAACTTTATGAGCCATATTTGACGATTTTATTTGGGATTAACACATAACTCACTTTCCTTCGTATCAAATAATTCAAACTGTGTCTTTTTATCAATATATCTGACAGTTCTAATAAAACTAGCCAATATTTGATAGAAATCAATTAAAACGTATTCAAGTAACACTTTGTGTTCACTTAACAGTTTATAAACCGCGACACGTATATTGTTCCTAGAAATTGAACACATCTAGGTTTGAAACACAGTCAATAATACCCACTTCGTAACCGTTGTTGACAGCAATTTGTTCAATCAAACTCAGTTTCATTCACAAATTACATTCTGAAGTTAAATGTTTGTGTAGACGCAATATGTACGATAATGACCGTATAAGATGGTTTGTGAAAAATTGCAAAATCATAAATTACTAGAAATTATAGTGAAAGTAAAATTTTGAAAATTCATTGAGCTATTCATTTTTATCTCTGCGATGAATTCCATTGAGAGGTGGATGGAATTTACAAATTCGACATATTTTCCCTACTGCACCTAATAACCAGTAAACAGACTGAGATATCATCTAGGTATCTGTACCAATACAAAAAAATAATTATTGGATTCGATTAATATGGTCTCTGTCCAATAAACGAAAATCCAGCTCATTTGTTTCCATTGGCGAAATACCAGAAAATGAATTCCGAACATGAAATGATATTGATTGAGCGTTATCAGGAAGAGTTAAGTTGTTAATATTATCAACTAATAAGTACTTACTATTTATACCAAATTGTGGCTTAAAATTGGTATAAGACTGAATTAATTTCGGAGATTTATACTGATGGATCCGTTACAAAAGTCACCATGGATCTAATTGAAAAATTAGTTTTATGCAATTTAATGGGGGAATAGACTTTTGGTGGTTGTGGATTCATAACTGTCTTTCGTTTATCACTTTCATTCATTATTAGCTCTATTGAATTTGCGAGGTTTCCTTTAACACTTTTCCGTTAAAGGAATTTCGTAAGTGTCTGAGTTGGAAAAATCTATGGTGTTTCCTCACATTCACCCATAGCAGTCACTGATCGATCTTTTTCTGCTCTCATTAATATAACATCAACATCATTTTTTTTTTTGGATTTGGCAATTTTCATTTATCTATTGAACTGAATTTGTCATACTTACTCGAATTGGTAGTACCTCTCGGAGCCAGCTTTGTTTCAACACAAAAAAAGAGAATGGCTGAATAAATATTTGGCTATACATTGTGATTAAGATTTTTTTCCAAAACTCTAGTTTCAAATTGTGTAAATTCAGTGTCGGTATGATCTCATGATGTAGAAATTGTATAGTACCGAACACTTCCGAAAACACGTTTGCGGTTTTGTAGACTAATGAGTGGAAAACCCACAATGAATTGTTATTTGAATACAATATTTGGCATTGTTAGTACATACAGTCATGAAACATTTTGATAACAAATGGTCATCAGCTGTTCTTGCATTTTTATCGCTCATATTAAACCAATACGTGAGTTTGCCATATAAATGAGCGTATTTTTCAGATTCTGGGTTACTAGGAGAATCTATATCATTGCCAAATGACAAGAAACTAGATCACAGCTTTTTGAGAATTGGAAAACGGTTTCATTTGTGAAACTGACGCCATAACAATGAATGTTGAACCACTCGACTCTATCACTGTAATGTATAGTTTACCTTTAATAAATAAATCATGAAATTAATCTCTGTTACATTTTTACGATTATCTGACATCACATAACTTGATAGATAATAATGACACACCATTCCAACATTGGTGATAAATATGGATGAATATGGATGAATGTATAGTGATTGGTCTTTCAATGATCATTCGAAGTAACTAGATGAATTTTTGGGTAATGTTGAAATATAACATTTTGTAATAGGTTAATGAATGAATACTTCCAGAAAACTGACTCAAATGAAACGCCTTCTATGAGATCGATAGAGAACTTAAATCTCTATTGAAAACACTTTTCCCTCATCAGAACAGAATCTCAGTCATCTTCTAATGATGCTAACTTGGTTGGTAAAAAGTCGAGAGATAGTGTTTTTGACCAAGTGAGGAAAGAGTATTTTCAATAAATTCATTTTCCTCACCAAAACAGTAAACTTAATCATCTCCTGATGATACTAACTTGGTTGGCGAAAAGCGCGTCGAGAGACAGCGTTTTTGATCTTGTGAGAAAAAAGAATTTTCAATAGATCTATTTATTTTACGGCAGAGGTTCCAAATTATACTTGTCGCACTCCATTCTCAAATATCAAAGATAAATAAGGCTTCCTAAAGCGATCAGTTGAGCAAACAGGTGAAAGTGAAATTATCTGGATTGAATATCAAAAACATTCATGTTACTTGGTTTTTTAATTTGAAGCAAGCGTACATTTTTCTCCAGTTATTTTACTTATAAGTTATGAACCCGAGTTCGCTTACCCACCATCTCACAGGGATAGAGTTTCATTCGCTGTTCCAAACGCGACTACATGCTAAGTCGTGCCCTGTAATCGAGGACACACATATTTACCACGATCATCGGGATCCACAAACAGACAATTGTATAGCAGCCCTTATCAAAGTAACCGACAATCCAAACTGCCGCACCTACGTAGTAGTCAACCCCATAACCCATCATAGAAGTTATCTCCAGGCAACGCGCGTCGGTAATCCCGGCTGAAAAACAGCTTAAAATCCTGGAAACCTGCCAAAGTGATGAATTCACACTCATAGGAGAACCCAGCCTTCTTGAAATACCATTCAACTGCGAAATCACAATCGGAGATTTCAAGTTATTGAACAAACAAAAATTTGTGAGATGCCATCCTCTAACCATTCCAGAAATCGAAATAGACAAGATTGATCCTGAAGATTTGGAACCCAGAAAAATTCGCCTGAAATCTATCGACCTACAAAAAATTCATGAACTTCAAGACGATGCCAAATTTCTTCAAATCCAGGACACAAAAGTAATTCACCCCGCAGTATAGAGCGTTATAAGCGTCCTTATAACGCTCTTTATGGTTGCTGCCACTGCCTTCGCAACCGTCCATGCCGAAAAGACCGAAAACAAACCAGTACCCCTTTTGTTATCGTCTTAGGGATGGAGGAGTTATGAACCGGAGTTCGCTGACCCAGCATCACCCAGGGATAGAGTTACTTACATCCGCTGTTCCAGACGCGACTACATGCAAAGTCGACAAAAGAGAGCTTATGTATAAATGGTAATTTAATAATTAGGTATTTTTGTTGCCTTGCTTGAACTGCAAATGTTGTATTTGTCCAAGATAAAGTTTTTTTAAAAAAGTATTTTCGTATACCGCATACGTAACTTACAATAAGTTATTTAAATCACAATAACATCAATAACAATAAGAATACTAGTAGTGAGTAGTAATACTTGAGATACTTAAGATCAAAGAATTTCATTAATTCTGCGTGAGGATTTTTTGCAGATTTAATGACTTGGAGAGTTTATAGTGATGAAAGTAACTTCCATGCTCGATCTTCACATCTTTTTGAAGAGTATATTCTGACCTCAATTGCTTTCTTTCCTCTTTTCAAATGTTTCCACTATTTTTTGTATGAAGATGGAGAAAGAAGTAGAAGGCCAAAAACCTTTTTTTTACAATGTGAATTCGTTAACATAATTTATTATTTGCTGCTGTTTGTAATGGAAATATTTCATCTCTATACTTTTTTCTGGCAACATATTTTGTGAATTATGATTTGGAACTCTATTATGTCATATTTCTACATTATGTAAATGATGTTAATTTGTAGGCTCTCATAAGATTTTCATCCCAACTAGAACTTCCTGTTAGTGTTGTTTCTATAGAAATAAGGTATTTTGACAAATTATTTTTAAGAAATGAGGAAGCCTGTATACTACACAGAGAAACCCGAGTTATATCAACACACAACTGCACTCATTCTTGGAAAGATAATGAAATATTTTAACAGTCCAGCTGATAATACGGGTACAAGAAATCGTTCCGTTTACTCACCTGCGGGCTATAACGGGACCGACGGTAGTGTTAGTATTCATATTGGTATTGGTGCGAACTCGCAGTTTGGCTTCAGATGAAATTGGTATAGGGATGCCTGATCTCATCTCTCGATGCCAACCATTGGTTTTGATTGACGATCCTGAAATGAACAGATAATGATGAACAGTCTTCATAATTCTCAGAAAAGCAGAAAATCTCCTTTCTGTAAAAACGTTTTTTTATATGTATATTAGGTTCCCTATTTCAATAAACAATTACAGTATAGGTGTTACTATGTATTATGGTATTGCAGCTGTTCTTCAATAAAAACGGCATGGGTACTATACGATTTTTCAAGTAAATCAATTTACTTGGTATTTTCAAATAAAAAAGATATTTATGAAAAGTGCAGAGCCATAAAATCAATTTTTGAATATTCCGTGGAGAGTTCTAAAGACATTTTTGTGAATTTGATTGATTTTGAAATATTGCTTTTTTGCGTAGATAATAAGTATCACTGAAGTTTTATCCCAACAACAAACCGTTATTTTAATGTGTTTTGATCACCAAGTGATCATCTTCAAGAGGAAGAGTGAACTAAATATAAGTGTTTTTAAAGGACAAAACACAAGCGCTACAGGAAAATCCTTAAGGCGCTCTTAAAGCGATGCTTGCGCGAAAGTAGTGATTCACATTGGATTTGAATCGCTGGAGATTAAATCCATTTGGAAAAACGTCCTCAGGAAGTTTATTTCACATAAACGCCGTTCTCCAAATGAGTACTCAAACAGTGAAGTTCTAGGTGTACTGAGTGGAACCTTAAAACGATGTGCAGCAACAATCCGTCGCGTATTTCTGATATGTACCGCTCTTGGTAGAATCAAATATTCCAAATCACTTGAAAACTTTCCGTGAAAGTATCTATAGAAGAGAGACAAATCTTCAACCGTTACTGCAGTCAGTATCGAGGTATTGTAGATAATATTATAAGGAAGAAAAAGTTTAGGTTAAGAATGAACGAAATCTCGACTTTTAAAAACGACAAAAACCAAGATAAATATATTACAGTTTCATAACACCAACACACGAAGAACTTTGAGAAGATTTTTAAGAAACTAGTTATGAAGATGGTATTTGAAACAAGTCATACACTACAGAGCCTTTCAGGAAATCCAGAGGACAAAGTCAATAATTTGGAAAAGTCTGAAATTTACGAAATCAAATGTAGGGACAGCGATGGAAAATATTTGGACAGACTGAAAGATCTATTAGATCAAGATATAAGGACACATTTTGAAATTAATTTAAGACACTTAAGACGCAGGTACCTAGAAGGAGTATTTATGGTATAAATAAGAATAATATTGTACATATATTTAGTTTATTCTTCCTCTTGAAGATGACACTTAATGATCGAAACACGCGTCGAGGTGTTGAAATAATGGTTTGGTATTGGGATAAAACTCCAGTAATATGTAATCACAAGTAATGTGTATCACAAGTAGGTAATAAGTATTTTGTTCATTCACTCGACTGAGTGATTTCCAATTTTCCATACTTCAGTAGAAATCGAATATAATGAATGTAACAAATTGCCATGTTGATGGAACGAGGAATGGGATTCGACCATTTTATTTCAGCATGAAACGTTTATGATGAAACAGTTTTTATAAAGCATTATTTTCTACAGTAGAATTAGAGATATCAAAATCCAGTGCACTCAATAAAAAGATAATACACAATAAGTTGATGGTGGAAATTCATTTTTTTAAACAAGGGTCCTAATCGGTCGAGTCGACGTGGATGGTTTGTACCACTCACTCAATCGACCGATGTGTGGACGGGTGGTTCATGCCGCGAGACCGGAGGATCGATTTTCACTTCCTATCGTCCAACCCGTGTTAGGAATCACATGTTAAAAGGTAAGACCTTGTTAGTCCTTAGCTCGCACAAGTTTCGACTTTTGACGGTTTTCATTCCTAGAGGGGCGACAGCTGGTTGACGGAAAAACATATTTTTTCAAACAGCTTTCATTTATGTGCTTTGAAAAAAAAAATTGAATTGAATCAAACCCATTAATGCATTGCATTACACAATTTATATGATATCTGATTTGATCAGACTTTACATATAGTATTTCATAAATTTTGCGTTATGCTCTTTACTACATAGTATTTGTGAAAGGATGAGAGACTGGCATCTCTGGATATATAATGAAACTTGCTTTTTGAACTTGAAATTATTATCCAAATATTTACTTAAGGTAAATACCTTTGGCATAATAACTTGGGACCAAACATAAGAACCTGCGTTTTTTCAGGATTGAGTTTCAGTTCGTGTTTCACAGAAGAAATAAATGTTTTGAAGTTCAATATTGATGTCAGCAACAGCTTCATTCAGCAATTCTGGTTTAAATGTTACATAAAGTTGGGTATCATCAGCGTAAGCATGATACATACAGAGATTGATCGTACTCAACATATTTGAGGTATATAAACTAAAAAGTAAATGTTTATTTCTGAAGTATTTTTGCATCATCTTAACGTCTGTTTTAGAGAAGTCAATATAATTGAGCATAGTTATGAGTATTCCTGGATGCAGTGAGTCGAATGCTTTACTGTAGTCCAGTAAGATCAATAACGAGATGTCTCCTGTATCTGTTGCTGCCAATATGTCATTCATTATTTCAAGCACATAAACACATTTTTGCGCTTACTTTACAAACGCTGATTGAACCCTACCAGTTAGGTCAAAATAATGTACCTACTACACTTTAAAAAGCCAAAAAAAAATCTGCGATGTTATATGTATATCTCTTAGGGATAACCGACAAACCTTTTGTCATTATTTTCTCCTTACGAGAAATGATGGTTTGTTCACGAAGCGATTTTAAGCAATACGGCATTGATGCTTATCCAATTAGGTACCTTAAATTAAATGATGGCTTGTTCACGAAGCGATTTTAAGCAATACGGCATTGATCCTTATCCAATTAGGTACCTTAAATTAAATGATGGCTTGTTCACGAAGCGATTTTAAGCAATACGGCATTGATGCTTATCCAATTAGGTACCTTAAATTAAATGATGGCTTGTTCACGAAGCGATTTTAAGCAATACGGCATTGATCCTTATCCAATTAGGTACCATAAATGCATTGTGCATTCAATACAGATCGATATGGCTCAGAATATTACAGATTTGAGATGCAGGGACATAGCGGTTGCGGCGATACCAGCCGGGGGGCCAACAGATAGCGCATCGAAGGCCACGCTTCGCCCTATAGCAGCGATCGCACGAGTTTATTGGAGCTCTATAGCGAGGTTGGTTGCAGAGCCAGGGCGGGCCGCTAGTATATCATATAACAGAGAAAATATTATCGTCTGATGAGCCGGATTTCCATTGATACAATGATATACTGTATTCTCTATTCCACAAAAAAGTGTTCTTCAGGCAATCATTACCTTACTTTTCAAATAAATTCTCAGTAGAGAATTCTGTCATTGATTTCAACTTATGCTTTGTTTGGAAGGCAGGGAATATTTAATTATTTCAATTATTACACTAACCGACGTGGTAAATGACAAATGTATTTTTCATCATCCCTTCTGGGAATTTTCACCCCCCACAATTAGAAAGCAATGGAGAACTTTGTACTGTATTAAGGCAACACTTCTAGTTTGCCTCGATGAGTTACTGTGTAAACTCATTATATTAAAAAAAATTATGTTCATCAGCCGCCTATCAAAATACTGTTCATTTCATTAATTATTGATCTGCCAAAAATCTGCCTGTCTTCAGAATTGGAAAAAATACTATGCAGTTTACTCTCTGAATCGTTTTATTGAACCTCCTCTACAGAATATTTTATGTATCCGTGAAATTATAATTACTATATGATATTTAGTGGTCTAAATTCAATTACCAAAGTTTGAGTGATAATATCTTGCTTCTTCAGTGTTCAAAAGCAAAAAGTAGCTTTCATTGCCTGAATAGTTTACTGTACTGTAAGTACTTAATCTTTCGGATAATATTTCTCTTTGGGAATCAATAATTAGTACCTATTTAATTGAATCATTTCAGAAAAGTAATTACCTCAATCCTCAATTATTTCATGTTACCTCAACATCAATAATAATTCATCTAATTTGAATGATCTCAAGAATAGGGCTCTAATTGAAAAGAGGATAGTGGTTTTTAGGTGTACATAAATTTTGTGAATAATAATCTCACAGGATGGATTAGATTCAATATTTATTTTTTTCATCACTGCATATGATCCTTGATCTATGATCTGAACTAATATTCATTTGATTTCCATATCATGAGGGTACATACTTTAAAACCGATTTTGTCATCTTGGGCGGTTCGCCATATTGACTCTCGAGTATTGTCATGTTATTTTCCAGCAAACCCTTCCATTTGATACTCATAATTATGGAAATATTGGATGTAGAATAAATAACATCACTCATCAAACCAAGCATATCTTTTCAAACGTGTACACAAAATTTCAGCTCAATACATACAAACATTTGCAAGTTAAATAAAAGCTTGTCTAATCATCACGAATGTTGAAGAAGGAATTCATAATCGTTTGAATATATTATGTTGTATGTTCAAGAAAACATATTCATTGAATTACAGTCACATGAATTACAAATGTTGACCAATGGGGTACCTCTAGGACCTGAATTGGGGCCCCTAATTCTCATAGTTCATGTAAATTATTTGGTATATCCCCTAATGATGGGATATGTCAATATTAAACTGGGAGAAACCTTCGTGGAAGGAAGATTCTATTGCAGTAAAAAAACGTACGTCTGATATATGAGTTAATTAAACGAAGAAAAGAGAATTGAAACTTTCTATGTATTTTATCACTTTTATTTATAACTAACGTTGGTTACAAATGAAAGTGGTGAAAAACTTGGAAAGTTTTAATTATTTTTCCTTCATTATTATTTCCAACCACGTAGTAATGGCTACATCCATCAATTTATTGAGTTAATTGAACCTGAACGCTTCCAGTCTTATCATGAATGAAATCATCTGAAGACTCAACTACCTAAACTGTAGGTTAATGGACTGACGTCTATCAGAAAACAAGTACTCCCTTGGCTAATACCACGAAGGGCATTGGATTATATCCGTCAGGTGTCAGTGCAAGATTCTCCACTGAAGTTATTCCTGCATATGCTGTTGGCAATACAACAACAATAGATTTTGAATTATTGAAACATACTTGCAGACTGGTTTGGGCTGTGTCTATCATCAACATGAAGTCGATTATTTTCGATAATTGAAAATCGAATTCTTTCAGAGTATTATGATTCCTCAAACTAGACTGAAGCGGACCACAAACAACTGGTTTGTCATCGCTCCATCTGCCTGTGAACGTGGTAACTAACCGCATATCCGAAATTTGACCAATTCCTCGTATAAGGACAAAAAAATTCTCACATATAGTCAGTAGGCATAATTGAAGACAGGCTATAAATCAGTGATTTATAGCCAGTCTTCAAGTATACCCACTGACTATATGTGAAAAGTTTTAATGAATAATACTGAAAGTCAGTATAAAAATACCTAAAAAGTAAATTTCAGGTATGTATGTTTGTATGTAGGTATTTAAAATCAATATGATCAAGAATTTCGACAATATGACCTTGGAGATAACATCATGTGACTATGTTTTCACGGAACTACGAAATATCATCAAAGCTAGTGTATTAACGAATCTGTTGTAATCTACATTAAATTGTGAACGAAAATTCTGTGTTTTTCCTCAAATCCATAGAGTCCTCACTACTGAAATTGAATTCAACAGAAATCAAACATAAATCACTAAATGAGGTAGTTGACATCTTTCCTTACGAAGACGCCATCTATGAGATCAACAAAGAACTCAATACTCAAATATAAAAAATAAACGAGGCTCCTTAGAGCGATTGGTTGACCTTTAAAGACAAGTGGAAGATCAGTTCGCAACCTAAAAGCACGACCAATGTCACAGTCGAGAGTTGAGAGTATTTCGACGGTCTACAACCCTTCAAAAGCAGTAAGATTGAAGTAACTTCCTATATATGAAAAGGAGAAATAAATTTCAATTGGTCGGGACGACCACAGATATATCGGTTTCGGAGCACTAGCTCCTCGTTAGTACCGGGACTGTCATTGCTTCTGGACTATTTGGATTTCATTTTGTCTGTTCAGGATATTCAAGGGGTTCACTCAGTCTGAAATGACCGTCTCGGTACTGACGAGGAGCAAGTACTCCGAAATCGGTATATCGGTGGTGTCCCAACCAAATTAAATTACATTCAGCTGTGTTCAACATATGGGAATTTTTAAATTATTTGCACAACCAGAATACGGATAGTGCCGAAATTTGGTGCATGTTCGGTAATCATTATAGATGCACTTCGAATGGTTGCAAGTCGAACAGCATACAGGGTAGGTCAAAAAATATAAAAATTGCTCTGAGTAAAGAGCCCTCATTTCATAAAAATCAGCAAAATGTTATTGAGAAAAGTTGTTCACAGTTGAAAGTTATGCCTGAATATCGAAACATGATATTAAGTTATAATTTATGATGATATTCATTAAATTACCTGGAAAAATCATAAACGACCTAAATTTATATTCATTTATTTGAAAATATAACGCTCTGTATATTCAATTCCATTTAAGTATCCTTCAATCACTTGCCATCAATCATTTCTTGTTTGTGATTCCATTGATGCCTCAAGTGTTCTCTAAGAGTCATGTGGAATACAAATACGAGAAATAAATAACCTAATATTGTAATATTCAGTTCTTCAAAGTATAACTTACATCACTGTTCAGTTATGTTGGCAATCTGTATCACTTCTGTCACCGTATAAAAGTAAACACAAGTAAATTCACTCCCGGTCGGCGCAACAATTAACCAATTTCATGGAACTGATAAATAAAACTGACTAGATGACAAGTTGACATCAATTGAAAAGTAAGAAATGATATTTTTTTATCATCACGGCTTATGGCTACAGCTGAATTTAGGATATGTGCTCGCATCTTGGATGGATTTGCCATACTCACTTAAGTGTTTCAGGGTTTCAATTATTTTATCTTCCAAATCTACCCTTAATCGTTAGACTTCACTTCAGGCTACCCACCTTCTACAGGTACGTCTTTCGCTAGCTTGTCAACTAAGGCATCTTAGTAGACACCTCTTTTCAATAAAGCTGGAACTTGACACACAATTTTGTTCGTATAACCTTACTTTGTTTCAGGCCTTCTTTTGTTTTTTTTTCTTCTTCATGCGCTTACCCTTTGGTTACATTTGGATGATTCATTTTTATCCTTTATTACGATACTACAAGAAGTCTCTGGTAACTAGATCATTTATCACAACTGCAACACAAACCACAGAGTCCCAAAGATGAACACACCAGACATCTTAAGGTGTTCGAACGAAGCCCCGTATGAGAGAATATCCATTGGAGAAAGATATACGCTGGTAACATCTTGATCAGGTATCACACTATCCATGATATTGAATGATGAACAAACCTGTTGATGTCGTAGACGATCCGCTAGATAGTGAAGCTGAATGAGGTTCTTGATGCGGTTTGCTGCTATAATGAAGCTGCTCAGATGAAAAACTCTTGCGAAATCCGTCATTGTATTTGAATTGACGAGGATGTTCGTTGCTTTGGTCTACGATATCATTATGTTGCGAAGCAGACCCTGCAACCTCTGGAAATGGTTTGTGATGCGGTTTATGCGGAGAAAACGATCTACCTCTATCGTAGCGGCGATATCCTCTGCCGCTATCTGTAACCGTCTCTGGTTGCAGAAAGTATACTGGTTTGAGGATCGATGGATCTCCTGCAAAACGGTTGTTTTGAATATCTGTACCTACTAAAAATAAAGGTTTGTTCTCATCTTTTTTTCATTTTTTTTTCATTCAGAGAAATGAAATCAAAGAGGATCAAGTAGCAATGCTGTTAAAATATACAACGCAAATGAATGACTGAACAGAACAGCACTCCTTCGATCCTCCACAATTCGATTACAGTTATTATATCGAAAATAAAACCATTCAAACCGAATAAACAGGACTTCCACAAAACAGGAAGAGAATTCCTGAAATTTTGTAAATCAAATACGGAAATGATGTTGCCACCTTAACTTCACTTTATAATTGTATCTCTCTTGAAAAACTCACAGAGGTATTATCTTCCTGATATCGGCAGGTTTATCGCTATCACCAATGTTATGTCTGTGGGAGTTTTTATTATTAATATAATTGATATTCTTATTCAAGTTCGGGTTTAAAAGCTGTCATACTCAAGGTGACATTTCAAAAACTAGTTAACTGTTTGAGAGTTGAGTGTTCTGAGTGGAAGTGTAAAAGATAATTTTATTTTTTTATCGCTAAGCTGAATGAAAACTTATCACAATGAAAGATTAATATTTACTGAAATGAGTCTATGACCGAGAACATTATCCGTCATCCTCCTACGAATTACTGAAATGAAGTTGGCCTTACCAAGACATGCTCTTCCGTAGAATGAAGCTGAGAAATTGAAATAACCAACTCGATTACCAAATAATCTGAAATTTTTGTTTTTTTTTAAAAACATCATTAAAAAAATGCTCTAACTTCTCAATATTTCTGCAAAGTGACCTGAAAAAATATTTATTTCATTCCTGAACTAATTCTTGGCCCCTTTTACAAAGAATTCGAAAAGTTTTATGCAGATTCCCTGCTGATAAAAAATTACACTATGAAATAGTTTTTTCCCGAATTATTTCCTGAATGTATCACCTACAAAGTAAATTTATCACACGCATATTTAAACTTCTTTAAAACCTATTCAATTTCTTCAGTTGACTAGAACTGTACTATTCACGATACTAATTAAACAATTTACACAAACATATGTTGTTTCTAGACGCGTTTCGCTAACACCGTAGCTTCCTCGGACAAACGTGTTTTCTGTTCGCTGGACTGGAAAACATTTAAACGTTTTTTGAAGTCATTAGGATGCAGTCAGCTGAAGAAATTCATTCATTCCAATAGTCACTAATGAATAAGAAAAAACGCATAAGCTTTAGTGCTGACCGAATATTCACTATACACATACTCAACTAATTATCATAGCATATTTGGAAAATAGTCACTTACCCTTACTGTAATTTTTACTATGAGTTGTTCTTGGAAAGATAGAAGAGTCAACAGCCCAAATTTGTTGATTTTCACTGGCTCCATCATCCTGAAAATGTAGGTATCGATAAAATAAACGGAACACTTTTTGAATAAAACCACGTACCAACACAAAATTGTTCAAAGAAATTGGGCGCAACGCAAACAATCTACACAACAGCATTTCACGATCTAACGCACTGAATTGCATGTAATTGTAGAAAAATATAACGGAATAAAAAAGAAAGTAAGGACATATTGTTTCAGTGAGCTTTGGTTGATCGATATATTCGGCTACACGTCAAGTTACAGTATACTCGCCCTTAGCGTGACATCGCATGATAACGTTTTGTGACGTCACGCGACTTGATGCAGAATTGCCTTGACATGCCACCTACAAGGTGAATTGATGAATTTGCATTTGTCAGGGGTATTTTCATATCCACATTAATGAGTCTTTATTCATACACGGGATAAATACCAATTGATTTTCAAACCTAAAATTTCACACTCCTATTCTCAACTTGAAATGAAATCGAATAAAAAAATGTATATCACGTTCTATCAAATAACATTATTA